CCTTAAGTGTTTGTATTTTACCATTTTATTCACTTGACTATTCCAATAATTAACTCATTGCCAATAGAACTTTATCAAAGTAATTTGATAACTACAAGTTTGAAAATAATTGCACACCCACACAATTTTTACATCTACACTTATTCATTGTCATAAAATGTCACCTTCATAAAACAATTACTCAATAAATAACACACATTTCAAAAATATATCTCTGGAATAAGTATAAATAACTTTTAATAACACAATAGTATATTACATCACTTACATTTAACAAACAATCTCACACATATCTCAAATTCATTGGATCAAATCTATCTCCTCAAGAACTTCCCGTTTACTGTCAAACAACTGCAATAATAGTATTGAGTTCTCCATTCAACAATATAAAGTAGTTTCAAACATGATCTACCATCCATCTATTAATAGAGTACCGGCATGTAAGTAATGTTTATTTTATTTATTTATTTGCTCATTTATTAATTTATTACAATAGAAGAGATTTTATAACAATTTGTGGGCCTTACCTTGTCTGTTTAACCTTTTTTTTTTTAAAAATTTTATACCTTTTATTCAACTCAATCATTTAAATAAAACCACAGACATGTAATATTGGCATAATTATTGTAATTTATAACATCTAATTTGTTTATTTTTATTAGACAACACCCTAATATGGGTTTCTATCATTTCAGCATTTGTTTAACTTTGTATCGAGACCTGAAGATGCTTTGCATATTGTAGAAAGCGAAACCGGTCGTCTGATAGTTAAATTAAATTGATTGTGAGTAAGTCTTATTTATTATTTCTTTACCTATTTGAAATGGACTCACACAAGCAACACATTCATGATTTGAATTAAGAAAGGATTTAAAGTACACTATCCACAAAAACTGGTTAAGTTAAAAAAAGACCCTTTAAATCAATATAAAAAAGTACCATCTAAAAAAATGTGTGTAAAAGTGTCAGATGATATTCTGATCTTCCGACACTTATGTAGAGTCACCTAGTGTTGCTAACTATCAATATCAGTGGCGGCTTTTGGGGGTAGGCAGGATAGGCCGGGCCTACTCAATAATTTTAAGAGCTTTAAAATTGAAAAACATATATTCAAAAATTATGTTAATGCATGTATAAATATCTTTTAAATGTACTAAATCACTCAATACTTATGTAACATAATCTATAATTGTAACATATTTTTAAACAAACAACACAATTGCAAACAAGTTGCCCAAATAAATTTTAAAAAATTCGTAAAATTCGAAAAAAAAATCACATTTGCATGATTTTTATATGGTCTGATTGTATGCAACTTGTATATGGCAACACTGTCGCCGAGCATTAGTTTATTTTTCACTGTTATCTGTTATTACTAGTTGCACTAGTTGTTTGGCCGATCGAGGTTGATTTTTTTAAATTTTTCTTGGAATAGTGGAATAGTGAGATCGTTTGAGATCGACCAGATTGCAGTCTAATGTTGATAGTGAGTGTTTGGACATTGTTGTTTCACTATTGGAATCGCCATTATCTTCTTCTTCAAGTGCCCTGTCCGTTGCGAACTTTGGCTATTAACATGGCAATTTTGATCTTGTTTGCGGCGCTTCTGAATAGTTCGACCGATGTGAGCCCGAACCACTTCCGCAGATTTTGCAGCCACGAGTGTCTTCTCCTGCCTGGCCCTCGCTTACTGTCTATTTTGGACAATTAATTGTAGCAGACGGTACTTATCGTGTCTCACGCCATTATCTAGAAGACCTGAAGTTGATAGAAAAAAAATTATGAATGAAAGGAATGAAAGGCCTACTCCAACATTGTGTATTGACTAAAAAGATGGGAAAAGGTGCGTACTTTTAATTGTTCTTGGTATGATGTCTGGAAGTTTTACGAAAAACAGACTATATTGTTGGCCGTGTTTGATATTTTCTAATAAGAAATGCGTATTGAATTGTGAAGGATACTTTGATTTAAAAAATATGTCTGCCTCTTTAAAAACATGCCCAGATGTGTTGCAATGTTAAAGCATGGTAAAAAATTTAGAAGGATCTTTTTTGAGGTTTTGGACAATATTATCACTCAATTAGGGCAACGTTTCTCGGATTACAAAAAGTTTCAATTTCTGGAATTGGGCGATAATAAAAGATTCACAGAATATGGCGCTAAATTTCCACAAAAAGCTTTGGACTCATTGATGAATACATATGAACCACTTTTTATTAAATCTTTATTAAAAACCGAACTGGAAATGATTTTCTCTGCTATTCATCGTAAAAATTTTCACGATAAGAGTTTGTTAGAACTAATTAAAATTATGTTTGATAACGAAACCAATGAAAATCTTCCTGAAAGCTATAAGTTATTTTGTTTACTTGCTATAATACCTGCAACAAGCGCTTCAGTTGAAAGAACGTTCTCCACTTTAAAGCGAATAAAGTCATCTCTTCGAAATGCAATGACGCAAAATCGGCTTTCATCACTGTCTACTGTATCCATCCAGAAGAAAGACATTCTTGCTCAGTTAATGGAAACGGGTGACACATTTTATGAACGAGTAATTGACAAATTTGCACAAAGCAAAGAGAGAAAAATAAACCTGCTCTATAAATAATAAAATATGTTTGTAATCTATATTTTAGTTCATAATTTTATTTAGTTTACAAATAATATAATTAAATGTAAGTCTGTTATAGTTACCTTATAATTTTAAGTATTTAAAGAAGAGAGATTATAGAAAGGCAGAGACAACAAGGGTAAACAAGAGCAATATAAGCAACAGAGAGAAAAAGAAAAGAACAGAAAAAGAGAGGCTGAGCGCGCGAGATAACGGTCTAGAAAGACGTGCCACGCGCGTAAGCGCAGAGTGGGTTTAGTTGGTAGGCATTGTAACATGAATGCATCCGGAGGCAAGGCCCCCAGGGAGAACTGCGTTCAGATGTAGTTTGTTTACTCTGACTCCAACACACGCCAAGTACGATCCATCTGGTACAGTCTTTAGAAGATTCCCACTCTCACACAAAAAACAAAAAAAAAAACATGTATTACACACACTGGCAGCTACAGAAATTTTTTTGGGGAAGTCATGGATCTTGAGGATGATTACTTTTCTCTGATGCAAGGTCACTTTTAGTCTTACCACCAAATAAGATAAGTGGTTTTTTAAATATTTTAAGGGGGGAGGGTCATGACCCCGTGACCCCTCCCTCTGGATCCGCCACTGATTACACATAGCTATATGTAATTTGCTAGCTTGACCTACCCAAAATTTTACCACACCAGCCGCCACTGATCAATATATAGATTTCCTTTTTAATAGATTTCCTTTTTGTAACATTTTAAGACAAAAGTTATGCATCAAGTAGGTTGTGCCGATAGTAGGTTATGGACAATATCGCATGACAACACCATCTGTCAAATATTGTTGTTTGTAAACAGACTTAAGATTTGTGAAATAATGTCGCAAGTAGAAAAAAGAAAAGTGGTGGAATATTTGTACAGAAAGGGCATCCGAAACGTTAAAAAAATAGTGCAATTGACTGAACTCGGAAAAAGTGCAGTGTATGAGACAATAAAGAGGATAAAAAATGGCATAGATATGAGACATAGACCAGTTTCGGGTAGACCGCGTAAGATTCGCGGAAACAATTTAAATGCTTTAGTGGCTTTAGGACGACAAAATCCGCGCCTAGGGTTTCGAAAATTAGCGAACAGATTTGGAAATCAACGAAGAATAAAAGTGTGCCCAGAAACTGTCCGCATGTCACTAAAAAAGCAAGGCTACATATCAAGGAATCCAAAAAAAATCCCTACAATGACACCTCTGCAAAGACAACGAAGAATAGATTTTTGTCAACGTTTTCGAGAAGATAATTTTAATAATGTCTTTATATCTGATGAAAGTTGTTTCCAGCTTGGTGCAAATCATCTAAAAGTCCTATCAAGAGAAAATGTTACCGTTCAATTTTCCAAATTTCCCACTAAAATAATGGTTTGGGGAGCAATATCTCAGCGTGGTGCTACACCTCTCTGTATAATTAATGGTACTGTTGATAGTGCGAAATATTGTGACATCCTAAATGGTTTTCTTCTTGAAACGGCTTATGTTTTATATCCAGAGGGGTGGCGTTTTCAGCAAGATAATGCAAGATGCCATACTTCTGCTTATACTCAAGCTTGGATGCAAGAACACGAATTAGCAACAATTCCGTGGCCAGCAGCATCTCCAGATCTTAGCCCCATTGAAAACATATGGGGACTGATGAAGATTGAAGTGGAGCGAGCAACGCCACGAGATAAAGAAGGTTTGATTCGATCAGTTTTACAGGCCTGGAACACCATTACAGAAAATTATGGCCTTGACCTAGTTATGGGTGTACCTGGACGTTTAGTTAAGTACTTAGATTTAAATGGAGGTTGTATAAGTAAATGAGATGAATTATTTGTTAAAATTTTATATTTCAAGTGATAGAAATAAATGCCGTAAAATTATAATTCAGCTTTCTTTTTTCCGGATACTTTCTAGACGGACTATAGGTTACTAGTTCACAGCACATATTATATTTATAAGCTATTCATGCGGCACAGAATCCAAGACTTCCTTGTAGTCAGCATAGGCGGTAAAAAGATTATTTTTCTTAGTGTATGCCTGATTATGACTGAGTCGTTATATTTGAGGAAGTATTATTTAATACATTGTATCGTTATAAATGAACTGATATAAATGTATTTAATTGACGGTTTTGTTTTCGTTCTTTGTTGGCTTATAATATAGTTTTATATCACAAGAGACGTGATATTTACTTATTTACTTATATCTATATTTATCTATAAATAACACAAAGTATATCGTAGATCCCACCTTAATTTAATCGACAAATATAATTTATCTTTTTTGACTTCGGTCATTAACAACTTTATCTTTATTTGTCTCGTAAAGTGATCATTGATTTTTTTACAGTAAACATTGTATGATATGAATTGATATCGACTACTAAATATTTTAGATTCAACGATCCCGCAGAGGCAGCGGAGTTAAGAAAAGGCGAGAAAATACACAATTTGTCCAGACTTAGTCTTTTAAGTTGGTCTACTCCAGATTTGGCTGTATCAATGGAAAATCTACAATTAATGTGAGTATTAAGTAGAGCAATAATTAATATTATTAGAAATTAGTGTAACAGGTCGATTTTTGTTTTAAATTTACTTTTAACTAATTATCTAATATACAGGGTTAACTATCATCGTGTGGTGGTGTGACCACCAGTTTTTTAACGTGACATCTCATTTTGTTTAAATTTCGGGATTTCCCTGGCTGAACTGATTCCAAAAATGTCACTCATGTAATAAACAAATAAATGGCCCAAATATTGCAATTTTCTAATTTTGATAGTGTTTTGGACTTCTTTTTGTTTTCGTATTCTTTCCAATACTATGTCGTTTATAACTTTATGCACGTAGCTTATTATTCTAAGAATTATAATAACTTCATATATCATTGCACAACAAATCCGTTTCTACATAATTATGAAGAGTCTACTATGTGTTCCTTCAAAGTTTGGGGTGGTTTAAATATTATGTTTATATGGGATTATGCCACAATTATTGGTTGTAATGAAAATCACATTTTTATAGGTCCTCGATATAACAACCTAAGACTTCCACAAGGGTCAGTTTTAAGCCCTTTATTATTTAATCTATATACATCTGATTTGCACAATGTCTCCCTAGTAAATAACAGTTTTAATATAATGCAATGTGCTGATGATTTTCTTATATATTCATCTTCCAAAACATACGATAATTGCATACAAATTTTGGGAAAAATGGACGAGTACTCCAATAACTGGTTTAAAGAAAATGGGTTAGAAATAGCACCAAGTAAATCTAGTACATGTATTTTTACGAGGCATAATCTCTCAAAAATAGACAAGTTAACAGTGAACAGCCGGGAATATAATTTCTGTTCTTCAATTAAATACTTAGGGATGATTGTTGACCGTAAATTAACTTGGAAGTTACACATTGACTCCATGTTAAATAGATGTAATAAGGGGTTAAATTTCCTTAAAGCAGTTTCTAAAACTTGGTGGGGAGCCGATGTAGAAACTGCGTTACTTTTTTATCGATCGTACATAAGTTCAATCATAGATTATGGATGTGTTTTATATGGTTCAGCAGCTAAGTATATCTTGGGGAAAATAGATGTGTTTCAAAATACAATATTACGTATTTGCCTAGGTACTATGAAATCAATCTCAACCAATTCGTTTTATGTTGAAGCACTAGAATTTCCACTCAAATATGGAAGAGAATATCTTAGTCAAAAATTTCTGATTAATACTCGTCATAGAAACCTCTCTCTTTACTGCAGTATTAACAAACTTAATAATGCAGATTTAGCAAATAAATATTGGATCCATAAAAATCCTCCTCCACTTTGTGACGCTTTTAGAAATCTCTCAAATTGCGATTACACCAACTCATATACATATGATAATTCAAACTTTGAAGATTTTTATGCTTTTTTGCAAACTATTACGGTAATTAAACCAAGGTAGAGACGTTTTCATCTTTCTTGGCGTGTGCGTGTAAAAACACTTGCAATAAGTTGTTTCATCTGTGTTTCCTTGTCTAAGCTCGATTCGTTTACCTCCTCCAGTGGCAGCTATCTGTATTCGTAAAGAGGCCGAACTTATCACCGACACCGTATCGGCCAAACACATCGGTGTTATTGCTACAATACTGGGAGACGTGAGTGGTCTCTTCATTCCCTTCTCATCGCACTTTACCATGACAAACGTGACTTGCACAATTGAATTACGCATCTGTGTATCAGAGAGAGACGAATATTAAAAATTCCGTAGTAGCTTATTTCAGGCACACACCAAGAACGATGAAATTGAGTTTACCATGTAAATACTAATGTAAAAGCTACAATATTTTAAGGAATTTATTAGAAAACTGGCCAGCATCAACAATTATTTATACAGATGCATCAAAGTCTACTCTTGGCACTGGATGCGCTTTTTATATTCCGTTAAAAAGTATAGAAAACATGTTTACTCTAGATCATAATTTTTCAATTTTTACTGCTGAAGCCATAGCAATTTATGAAGCATTAAAGTATTTTAAGAATTCCAATGACAACTCCGCAATAATTGCATCTGATTCTTTATCGGTTCTTATAGCCATTGAGACTATATCTTTTCCTAGCAAAAGCACAAATATTTACATTGTTCTAATCAAAAAAAATCTTTTTGAATTACATCAGGAACAAAGAATAGTTAGATTTTTGTGGATTAAAGCTCACATAGGGCTTGAGCATAATGAGTATGTAGATATATTAGCTAAGAAAGTCATTGATTCTGGTGCTAAAACAGATTATAAGCTCTGCATACCAGATGTATTTGTAACAATCAAGAATATTGTAAACAATCAGTGGAAACAAGAATATTATGTAATATTCAACCGATGTTGAAATGAAACAAAGATTGTATGAGTACTTTGCTAAGTAGCAAAATGAAGAACACCAGAGAAGAGACGGAGAATGCGGGATCCCAAATGAGAATGTAATACCAGGGATAGCGAGAGATGAAGTTGTCGAGGCGTTAAATAGGACGAAGAACGGTAAGGCAGTAGCACCTGATGGAATTTATGTAGAGGTTTGGAAGGCTCTAGGAGAGAAAGGGGTTGATATTTTGTGGCAAATGATGAGTAAGATATATGAGGAAGAAGGGATGCCTAATGCATGTAGAGAGAGTGTGATGGTATCATTTTTAAAAGATAAAGCAGACATTCCGGACTGTAAGAACTATAGAGGGACAAAGTTAATGTCGCCCACAATGAAAATTTGGAAGAGAACTGCAGAGCAAAGGTTAAGGAGAGATACATCGATAGGAGAAGAACAATTTGTTGTTTATACCAGGAAGGAGAACAACAGATGCCTTGTTTGCGTTGAGATAGTTGATAGAGAAATACAGCGAGAAAAAAGAGATCTGCATTTGAGATTTATAGATCTTGAGAATGCGTACGACACAGTTCCTAAACATGTATGATAGAGAAATGGTTTCCTGAGAAGTACGTAAGGCTGAGATATGTATGAGGAAGCATACACCAAAGTAAGGACTGCTGTCGGATTGACCGGAAGTTTTCCACTGACGGTTAGCTTGCATTAAGGCTCTTCACTGAGTCATTACTTATTTAATCTTATTATGGATGTACTGACAGAGAAAGTAAGGGAGCCTTGGTCAATGCTCTTTGCTGATGATATCGTGTTAGTAGAGGAGACCAAAGAAATGTTGGATGAGAAGTTGGAGTGTGTTAGAGAAGCACTATTGAAGAGGGGGGAAACTGAGGTTAACAGGTCGAAAACAGAGTATCTGTGGTTGGGAGGAAGAGGAATGGTTGGAAACTAGAATTTATTTTAGAAAAGTTACGAGTAGAAGAATTTAAATACCTTGGTTCCTACATAACGGAAAATGGGACACTAGATCGAGAAACTTCCCTCAGGATACAGGCTGGTTGACTGGAAGCGAAGGAGCGAGGTACTTTGTGATCGAAAAATCGGGGAAGGGCTGAAAGGAAAGATATACAAGCGTGTGGTTGCTGCGTTGGTGTACGGCAGTGAAGTGTGGCCTGTAAAGAAGTTCCAGGAAAAGAAGATGGAGGTAGCTGAAATGAAAATGTTAGGGTGGATGTTGAGTAAGACTTGAAGGGACAGGATCAGAAACGACTTGATTAGGACTAAATCTAGTCATTTTGATAATTTTGATAATTTTTGTTTATTTTTATCAACTCTAAATGTCAACTTTGATATTTTAGTTCTCACGGAGACACACATTCAAGATGATATTGATAAAACCCCATTTTTGTTAAAAAATTACGATTTATTATACAATTATGGCGATTTAAACAAAAATGATGGAGTTATTATTTACATTAAATCTTCTATAAAATATGAATATTCAGTTGTACCATTGGGGAACATCAAGTTACTTGAAGTCATTTTAAATTATAATAAAACAAAAATCTGTTTGAGCGCTATCTATAAATCACCGATAGTAAACATAAACAATTTTAATCAGGATTTGCATCAATACCTCATAAGTAAAAAACGTATGTGTTTTCATATATTAGTTGGTGATATCAATATTAATTTGTTTGAGGATCTAGATCACACTGAAGAATACCAGAATATTCTAGCTTCACAAAATTTTTTGTCTTATATAAATAAAACAACTAGACCTAGAAGTCAAACTTGTATAGACCATTTCTTTATAAAAAGACCTGCTAATTACACTAATATAACTTCATTTATATTTGAAAATAATACTACTTCAGATCATTATCCAATCGCAGTTTCCATTCCTAATCTAACCAAAACCAAAGAAAACAAAATAATAATAAAGAAGTACATCAACTACAAAAATCTAAAAAACAATTTGAAGCAGGAAAAGTGGTTGGATATTTACAATAAAACAAATAAAAATGAAGCGGTAAAACTTTTCATTGACAAAATTTTAAACTTAATAAACAAAAATACAATTATTTTAAAAGGAAATGATCTAAAAACCACTTTTAAAAAAGATTGGATGACAGGGGGACTTTTAAAGTCTGTACAGGAAAAACACAGATTGTATGATCAGCTAATCCAAGATCCCTCAGATAACTTAAAAAAACAACGTTATACAGAATATAAAAATAAATTAAGACACTTAGTTAAAACTGCAAAAAGAAATTATACAAAACAACGAATTGAAAAAAATAAGACCTCTTCTTCATCACTTTGGAATGTAATTAATTCATTGTGTGGAAAAATAAAAGGAAATACAAAAATTGAATCGATTAAAACCAAAACAGGAGAAAAAATAATTGACAGAAAAGAAATTGCAAATGAATTTAATACACATTACAGTACATTGGGACAAAGGTATGCACAAAAAATACCCATTTGTAATGAACAGATTGAGGACATAGATAGGATAGAAAGCAGCATGTACTTGTATCTCGTTGACCAAAAAGAAGTGGTAAATGCAATACAATCTTTAAAACACAAAAAATCTCCTGGCTGGGATGGGATCAAGACAGAAACCATCAAACAAATTAAGGAAGAAATTATTACTCCTTTAACTTTTCTCATTAATGCATGTTTTCAGGATGGTTGTTTTCCAGAATGTCTAAAAATAGGCAAAATCAAACCTCTGTTTAAAAAAGGAAATAAAGAAGACGTGATTAATTACAGACCAGTATCTTTGTTGTCTGTTTTTTCCAAAATATTTGAAAAAATTTTAAAAAATAGATTAGTGAGTTTTTTGGATAGGTTTAGTGTAATATCGGATTGTCAATACGGTTTTAGAGAAAGAAAATCTACACAAGATGCTATTTGTAAACTAACATCACAAATATCAGAAGCTTTTGAGTCTAATAAACGTAGTTTATGCATATTTGTCGATCTCTCTAAGGCGTTTGACACGATATCTCACGGGATCTTGTTAGAGAAACTTGAGAAGTATGGTCTGAGAGGACGCGTTTTGACATTACTAAAAAGTTACTTAACAGACAGAAAACAATTTGTAGAAATTGATGGTGTCGAAAGTGATCCTGAAGTAATTAATTATGGCGTACCGCAAGGGACCGTTTTAGGCCCTCTACTCTTTACACTCTATGTTAATGACATGCTTAAACTAAAAACTGATGGAAACATAATAAGCTTTGCTGATGACACCGCAATTTTTTATAAGGCCGAAAATTGGGAAGATCTTAAGACTATAGTTGAACAAGACTTCAAAGTTATAAAAACATGGTTGCAAATAAATAAACTCACAATAAATTACGAAAAAACTAAATATATACCTTTTGCAATATATAAAAATTCTCTGCCAACTTTTAACTCATTAAAAATAAATAAAAAACAACAAATATTTAAAGCAGAATACATAAAATATTTAGGAGTTTTAATTGACAGGCACCTTAAATGGGACTTACAAATAAAAAATATTATAAGAAAAATAAGAGGACTGTTACCAAAATTCCGCTATTTAAAAGAGTTTTTAGATGTTGAACAGCTTAAAATGCTTTACCTGTCTTTAGTACAATCTCATCTTGTATATGGGATTTTAGGATGGGGTGGCGTAGCTGATTGCCATCTGGTGACCCTTCAAAATACTCAGAAATGGTTTCTTAAACTAATATATGGAAAACGAAAAACATATCCCTCAGACCAACTTTTTCATGAAACTCAGGTTCTTGATGTTCGGCAATTGTACTGCCTAGAGCTACTTAAAAATATTCATAAAGATAAAATACCTCTTAAAGTAAAAGTGTCAAATTATGAAACAAGAAGAAAATTGAATGTTGAATGTCTTCATACTTCAAAAACAATCACGCAACGGTCAATTAAATATTTTGCTCCAAGAATATACAATCAATTGCCCATAAATTTTAAAAATATCAAAAATTTTTATTTGTATAAAAAATTAGTTAATGCTTGGGTAAAAGAAAAAAGGGAGTTGTGTAACAATTTAATAAATTTAAATTATACTAGATAAAAAAAAACGAAACAAATTAGATTAGATTAGAAACTGTAAAAATGAAATAATAATTTGTAAAAAAAAAACATTAAACTTGTTAATATTAGACAGCTTAAGTCAACAAGCATGTTAATGCTTTAAAGACTTTTTTTTACGTTTATGTTACTGTAAGTAAACTGAAATTGAAATTGTAAATTAATGTAATACTTATGGATTTGAATAAACGTATATTATTATATTCAACTTTAATGCAGCTTTTTATATTGAATTGGCTGTACTGCTCCGATATCAGTGGGACCGTCAAAAATGTCCGAGTCAAATATCAGTTTTTTGAGGATTTTGTTTTGGTATCCATTATTTTCAAAGATTTTATCTACAAGTTTAAGTTTCTGTCCATGAACTTTTCGTCACTAATATGACTTACCGTATTTTTCATTGCAATTACTTTCTTAAACTTTTGATGAGTAGAATGATTTGAAAAATAGTTTAAATATCTTCCAGATTGTGTTGGTTTCTTCATTATTATCATGTTTCCATTATTCATTATTTTGTTTTTTTGAGTTTATTAATCTTGTGTCTTTAAGTCAAACGGGTCTTTAAGAATGTTGGCAAGAAATTTGGATAAGTCATATGTTACTGAATTGATAGAGCTTACAATAGGTCTAAATGATATCCCTTCTTTATGAATTTTTGGTAAGCAGTAACGATTGGGACAAGGTGAATTGTATATAGTTAGTTTTAGGCAAATTCTTGATTTTTTTTCTCATACCTCATATAAGTTAAATCTCATATCTTTAATAAGTTCATTGTAAGAAGTTTGTGAAGAGGAAGAAGTGCTGAATATATGCAATTCCATCATTAAATAAACCTTCTGTTTTTTTTTAATATATTCGATTTTGTTCATGCCTACTGTACACCCTTCCTTATCTGATTGCACAATATAAAGGTCTGTGCGTCAACTGGAATTGTTCAGTTTTTACACATTTTTCTAGTAGCGACAACATTGTAATTGCCTACGAAAATGTTTCTATTCTAATAATATCATACGAATAACACGAAGTTTGCCGATATACTGACTGCCACTCTTTATCATTTCCTTCTTGCGAACCGCCTACTTGATATTTGCGGCTGAAATCACATTTGTCGTATAGTACACGTGACAAGTTTTATGTCATAAAAAAATTCTAGTAAAATTTACACAATTTACTAACTTGTATAATTGTATTGAGATTATGGCTTAAACAATGTCTTTACAGGAATGCGGACGATGATAAGAATGAGATAAAAGTAGATATAGAAAATCAGCGGCTGAATTTCGAAAAAGAAAAGGAACAGTTTGAAAAGGAGCAGGTTGCGTTTGAAAGGAAACAAGAAATATTTGAAAAAAGAAAAAAGAGTTTAGAGGAAGCTCAAGCGAAGTTAGAGGCGGAGAAAATGAGCGTGAAAAAAGAATTTGAGGAGCAGGTAGGATGACAATTTTTTTAGTTCTTAAGTATTTAATATTTAATTATATAGGTGAATGTGCGGTTAATCTTAAAAAATAAAAAAAAGTTTGCTATAGAATTTTGTTTACTAGTTTAATATAATATATTAATTGTTTTTCTACGCTTATCATAGCCAAAGCACACAATCGTTCTTGACCTATCGTGATTTTTAAAAAGTATTGAACTGTTTTTATTATTCTATAGGGATACAAATTAATCATGAGTAAGAATAAGAAGGAGATTCCTAAGGAGTTATTGAAAGTAAAAGATCGAAACTGTAATACGGCAGTGTTTTGTTTCGATCAAAAAAAAGACCTTAGTATCTTCCACGCCAAAGAGAAAGAAAGTAGTTTTGCTAGTTTCAACAATACATTAGGGAGCAGAAATCGTAGAAGAAACCGGCAAGCTATCCATGATTCATAACTATAATGAAACCAAAGAGACACCTTCGGCCAAATGTGTCATAATATGAGTCCCAGCAGAAAAACAACGAGATGGCCATTATGTGTATTCTGTGGAATGATAAATATGGTCAGCATAAACTTTTACGTTATTTATACTCAATATGTTAAAGAAAAGCGAAAAACCTATCTCCAGATATCAATATATGATTCAATTAAGCCTTTGTGTTGCAAAACCATGGATGCTAAACACATTAAACACCGCGTAGCTGAAATCCTCAACATAACTAAATATGAGCCAGGAAAAGAAGAAGAAGACTTGTTTCTACTGTCCAAGAAAAAAAGGCACATTATTACCGACTATTTCAAAGAGTGCAAGGAGCTTATTTGCTTCTGGAGAATAGAAACTGCCAATTTGGAGAACACCGAGGAAATATTGTAAATTCAAAATACAAAAATAGAAGACTTTTTTGTATGGAGTAGTAAAATTTAAGACAGTCCTGGATTTACGTTTGGTAAAAACGGTCCCGTCCCGTATTCTACGGTTAATCAAGCGAAATTAATTTTGTTTCTACTTTTAAGGACAAAACAAGCAAGTTCATTAGCAGAACCGAATTAAAAATTAAATATACGTAGACGGTTGCGTTTCGATTTAATTTGAGTCTCTTTTCATTCTCTAACACGTGTTTCTGGGTCTACCCGTCATCAGAGAGAATTTGTAAGAAGATTCAAACCAAATCAAAACGCACCGACTAGTATAGCAATTATAGGAAAAATACCTAGAGAAAATTACCAGAGTATGCTACTAGCGAGGTCTAGTGAAGAAAGATGAATTCAAAATTATTCTGCACATTATATTTGAAGCATTATTTGATTAAGATGTCTCATACTTGGTGGTAAATAATATCTTAATCTGTCTGGACTAAAGGTGGTATTTGTTTAAATTTGCCAACCGACGATAGATTGTAAGAGACAACTTTACAATGTACTTTTAACTAGACTAAACATAGACGAAATTAATTATATGAGACCTGAAAATACGGCGTAGTTATACGAAATAAAAACAGTTTACGAAATAATATAGGCGTATCGTGGTACCATTAAAATTTAAGGTCAATTATTTCTAGAAAAATGAAAACGCTACATTATATGGTTCAGGTATTTATATTTGCGACATTTTATGGTTATGATCAGTTCGCGTTTGACGAAAACTAATGTTGCCGACTCGATCCTTACCATAATTTTCATCGATTGGCTCATTTAAATTTGCACCCAAATAGCGAAAGTTGTTGATTTGTTATATATGTTGTTGGTTAACTAACAATTGTCCTATTGTTATCGCATTTTTGCTTATAACAATGTATTTTACTTCTTTGATGTTAAAATCAAACCCAAACCTTATAGTTACTTTTGCTACCCTGGAGACAAACGCCTGCAGACCTTCCAGACTGTGCAAAAATGACAGTGTCATCAGCGTATCTTATATTGTTATATTGTTTGTAGTGTTTTAATTTATGGAATAAAATGACTGGGATACAATTCAATGATTTGGTACATAACGTAGTCTTCTTAACATAATATACAATTTTATAACACAAAAGTTTCAGATAAAGCTTTTGTTGCTTTCCAATTGATTTAATCTTTATCCAACGCTTTATTTTATTTTTAGACCCGACAATTGCAGGACGATTGGCGAAATCTAGCGACCCAGCAACGACAAAAAGAATTAGAACTAGAAGAGAAGGAAAAAGAACTTATATTAAAACGAGAAAAATTGGAGAGGGATAGGAAGACTATATTATCAGAGGTTGGTCGAATTTTTTGTTTTATTTTTTGTATGTTAATTTAAATAGTAAAACTATTAGATGTAAATAGATTTTTAGAGTTAGTTTTAAAGTCTATTATGTATTTTTTATCTTTGTCTTACATTCGGAAATGTTTAAGTGTTAGTGGTGTTTTTTTTTATAAAGTAGAGGAGCATGTTAACCATATCCAAAGCCGTATATTGTATCGATTAGCATTCCTAGCTCCACGCCTCTTTTATCTCCTATGTAGCTTCACCCAAATACCTTTTTTTCATGACCGATTTGGATTCCTGATTCCAGCTTTTTAAATTTTAACATTTCTGATTCTGTCGTTTCTGGTATTGTGTATTATTTTTCTCAATACTTACATTCCAATAGCATTTTTTTTGCTTTTATGCTTCATTTGTAATACTCAACTTTAACATGCTTGTGTCACTATTATGTTAATCGTATTATATAGGTACTACTTATTTAGTTTTGTTGCTTAATTATTTCTTTCCGTATATTGTTTTATTTAGAGTATTAGATTTTGTTTGGCTTTCTTCTGTTAAACAGCTATCTCGAAATCGAATTTTCCATAATTTGAAAAGATACTTCCTAGATATTGAAATGTTGAGACCTCCTCTAGTTTTTGCCCTTTTTATGTTATTGTCTTTGGAGTTTTGTCGTTAACTTGCTCTTCTTGTTATTTACGATCATCTTCAGCTTCTTTATCTCTTCTACCCATATGTATAAAGTCAAAAAACATTTTGGGTGCCAATATTTAACAATAAAACAACCACATACTATAAAACGACACTTGATGCCGTTGACAATTGACAGATGTCAATATTATTGTTAGCTCTTTCTCAAGTGTAGGTTAGGGTGGCCCCCATTATAATGTTACTTTTTCAAAGTTATATTAGACACCTGGGCACCCTCTAACTTTTTTACTTATAATATTAATAGTATTTATGCAAAATTTCATGATGATATTCCATTTGGAAAGGAGTGCTCAAAGACATTTTATGTTGGGCATAATTTTAGAATATCGGAATATTTGAGGGAATTAAAAATCAAGAAAAAACAGCTCAAAGTAAGTAAACTAAATGTATTTTATTTACAGTATAAAGGTACAATAAAACAATGCAATGATATTCATGAAAAGAATTTGCTGTGGGCGATCAATCCTTTGTTGATATTTTCAAACTATCGACGATCGCTTGTTTTGTAGTCTTTGTAGGCACCATCTTTCTGTTAGCTTCTATGACCTGGAGAAGCACCTGCTTTTCATCTTCATCATTTGTTTAACAGCTTGTTAAACTCTTCAAACAGCTTTACTCCTCTTTCAGCCAAGTCATTAACAACTTTCAGATTTCTGATGATGTTTTGACCTTTGATATACTCTTGGTCATCGGTCCATTCATCTGGGTTTTTGGTGAAAAAATTGGTATTGATTTCCAATTTCTCAAGTAACTGCAGAGATCTTTTTGAAGCAAAATCAACCAAACGCGCTTTCTCAGTTAGGAGTGCTGAATTGCCTCTCACTTTCCGTTCAGCAGGCTCACATTTCATTTTTTCAACGATTTCCACCTTATCATCAACAGATACTTTTTTTGAGAACAGACTCAAACCAACCAACTCAACCGAAAGATACCAAAGATGAGATTTGAAAGCCTTTTTGACAATTTCAGTTACATCAGGATCAATACCATGGTACTTTGTGTATCAATATCATTCCACAGTGAGAGATCTGACCATGGAGCATTTGAAGCTAAAGGAGCTTCTACCCAGTACTTGACGTAGACAAGAACTCCAAATTTCACAAAGCGTTCAAGCTGAGCTTTCTCCCTTTGCGTTGTCACGAAACCACTGTCATCACGAAACAAATAGATTTTTATGCCATATAACAACTTAGCCATCCAACGGCCTTGGTGTACCGCACCAGGAGCTCTCCAATGAATTTTGGCTGGAGTGTGGCCTAAACCAATTAAAGTCAGCTCAATCAACTCCATATAGTCATCCCGAGGCTGACTTTTGCCTTTTAAGGCAACTTGGAGAACATCAACTGCAGATTGTTTGAAATCTTCACTGCCAGGAATGTTTCCCAAAGACTGATAACTATCTTGTCTGATATATTGCCATGCTGCTTTGAATCTTTTGAATATAGGTATATCAGGTGAACTGGAGGGACCAAAACAGAAAGTAAATACTTTACTGAGTACAATCTCTAAAACATGGTGTCTGCATGCTAGCCATAACAAATTCTCCTTCAACTAGGTGTTCAATCAGAACACAAGCTCCATTTTTCAACCCTGTGTTTACAGATGTTGTGTCAAAACACATACCCACTACCTTTTTACCCAAACCCCATTCAGTAAGCTTTTTGTAAACAGCATTAGCTGAATTTTCACCAGTACCACCAACTAATTTTGGTACACCAAGCAATTTATCTGTATTGTCAGCAGGACAAGATACTATGACAGGCAAACGGTCTACCTTCTCACTTCCCAAAATATCAGGAAGAATTTTTCCATCCCAGTGTACAATGACGGGATTATCAAAAGAGGTAGATTCTTTAATAGTTTGAAATATAGTTTTTCGTGCTTCCTGCCTTTCCCGTTGAATAGTGCTCCTTGAGAGCGGCAATTCACTGGGATCATGACCGAGAGCTGCTGCGATAGGAGCCATTAATCTTAAAGCTTCCCTATCAGAAACTTTGTTGCGATCCAATGCACTAACAACATGTGTGGAAAACAAACTTCTCTTTGCGATTGGTGGAGATGACAAGTCTGTGTGTGAATCTCTTTTGTTTCTTTGGGATGCCGAAGATGATGATGATGGTTTATACAGCTCTTCTTCTCATGAGCTGTGTTTTACTGGAGTACACTCATCTGTTGAATCATCCTCTGAACTTTGGCAGGAAGCAGTCGGAGTCACCAGAGGCGAAGCGGTTCCCTCTTGAGCTTTTTGAAGTCTTTTTTGTTCTTTTAACTTTCTTTCAAGGATTCTCTCCTGTTTTTTTTATATTCCCTGTCTTCTGATGTTATGATCATTTTTCTGTCAGTTCTTTGATCTATTAGAAACTGTCTGTCCTCATCTACTTTACACATAACCAGGGCTTCACTTTGAGCAATATCAAAAAGCTGATCGAGCTGCTCTACAAACAGATTTTGTCTTTTGTTCTGGGCATCGGAGTTTCTTCCTTTATTTTTCTTTAGCATAAGCCATTCATTGTGTACTTTCTCAACTTTTTCAATACAATGTTTTTTTAATCTGGTAGGAATCGCAGCCTTTTGTCATACTGACATCACTTCTTCCAAGGTTAAGTGGCTAGCATTCCTTATGGATTTTTTCTCGTTTAGGAAAAAAATGAAATCTGAGAAGAACTTGCCTTACAGAAGGTAGTTGGTTCAACTGAGATATGGGTTCTAATTCGCTTATTCCAATTAAAAAAATATTGTCTGCTTTACGCGTTGAAGTGGAGGGCGAAGCCATGACTACGCACATGCACAAATCACAGTTCTTTCTTCTGTTCACTTTTTCCACTTGACTCGTATTTTCTACTAGTAACAAAATAGTTTTTTAAGACAAATATTATCAGTTTATATATATATATATATATATATATATATATATATATATATATATATATATATATATCAATTACTTAAGTCTTTAAATGCACAATTTTCACAATTTCAGCATCTGAAACAAAAAAATAATGTAAGATATTAATTTTTGAAAATTCGACGAAATTGCGAAATTTTCAAAACTTTGAAGACTTTGAGCACTGCTTTCCACTCCACCTATGACATTGAAACTTTAGGGATTTAAAAATTTAATTAAAAATCCTTTGTAATAGGTATATATTTTAGGCCCAAACGGGCTAAGTTAAAAAGACAAAACGTTTTCGGAAACCAGGTTCCATCATCAGTGTCTAGGAGTACATGAATGTAGCCACCAAGATTAAATATGTGGGTAAAAACCCGATAACAGATGTTTAATTACATTTAGTTTTAAAATTATGTTATAATGATTTAGGATTATAGAGTTACCGATGGATTAGGTAACATGGCGACATATGACTCCACGTTGAAGTTGCTAGTCCTGAGACCTTATGTCTTCGAGGACTGTATGAGTGCAACTCATACAGTTGCACTCGATAGCAGATAACAGTTGCACTCATACAGTCCTCGAAGACATACCGTCTCAGGACTAGCAACTTCAACGTGGAGTCATATGTCGCCATGTTACCTAATCCATCGGTAACTCTATAATCCTAAATCATTATAACATAATTTTAAAACTAAATGTAATTAAACATCTGTTATCGGGTTTTTACCCACATATTTAATCTTGGTGGCTACATTCATGTACTCCTAGACACTGATGATGGAACATGGTTTCCGAAAACGTTTTGTCTTTTTAACTTAGCCCGTTTGGGCCTAAAATATATACCTATTACAAAGGATTTTTAATTAAATTTTTAATACATGGTATACAGCCAACTACAGGAACGTAGATTCCTTGTGGATTTAGGGATTTACTTCTATTAGGCAAAGTAAAAAAATGAGAGGGTGTCTAGGATGTTCTACAATTTTGAAATTTTTGGGCCACCCTAGTGTAGGTACGTCTTATCTCAATGCAAACTGTACAGAGAGAAATTTTTCAATCAATGGGGAAGGATTTCTGCGTCCACATTTCTTTTCTGAGCTGCTATGATGCCATTTTAATATCGTCAACACCTTTATATAGTTCATCTGGGACATTTTCTATTTCGGGTGATTTGTTTCTGGCTAGTTTGTTAACCGCATCTGTAACTTCAAGAATCGTTGGTGATTTGTCTTCCCCCTCGTCTGTTCCGTTTACCTTATCTCTTTCGTCTTCTAGGTTTTCTTCTTCTTCCTCTATATTAAGTACCTGATTAAAGTACTCCACCCATCTATTCAATACACGTTTCCTTGTTGTGAATAGGTCACCATTCTGATTTCTGAATTGGGATTATTTTGTGTTGATGTTAACTTTCTTATAGAATTATCTGAATTTTTTCTTTCTGTTTATGTTTTTCTATATATTTATGTTCCATATTTAAGTGGTTTCGC